CTTTACCATCTGAGCCATCAGGGAAGGCAAGATTTGTTGTGATGCTTAGAAAGATAATTTATTTATTACTTTTGAAAATTTAAACAGATGGGCTAACCCAGGTCTGAAGCAGTGATTTTTAATGCTGACTGAACTTTGGAATCATCTGAGGAAATTCAAAATTATGGCTGACCAGAGTGATCAGAGGCTTTCCTGATGGCTGAGATGGTAAAGAATCTGCCTGAAATACAGGAGACCTGGGTTCAAGCCTTGAGTTAGGAAGATACCTTGGAGGAGGGCATGGCAATCTATTCCAGTATTCTTGCCTAAGAATTCCATGGACAGAGGAGAGTAGTGGGCTGCAATTCGTGGGGTCTCAAAGAATCACAGATGACTGAGCAACTAATGCTTTCAGAGTGAACCACAGACTAACTCAGAATCTCTGGAGATTTTTCCAAACATATTTATTGAGGTATAGGTTACATAACATAAAACTAACCTATTTAAAGTCTACAGCATAATGATTTTTAGAAGTAAATTTGTAAATATGTATAATTATGGTGGCTCAGATGGTAAAGTGTCTGCCCACAATGCAGGAGACCCAGGTTCGATCCCTGGGTTGGGAAGATGCCCTGGAGAAGAAAATGGCAACCCACTTCAGTACTCTTGCCTAGAAAATTCCATGGATGGAGGAGCCTGGTGGGCTACAGTCCATGGAGTTGCGAAGAGTCAGACAAGACTGAGTGACTTCACTTTCACTTTCGAAATTATTAGCATGATCCAATTTCAGAACATTTCCGTCATTTCAAATAGATTTATCTTGCTGGTTTGCTGTTAATCACCACCTTTTCTTGGACCTTTCATAAAAATGGAATCATACAATATGTGGTATTTTACATCTTACTTCTCTTTTCTCATGTTAAACGTTTTCATACATTCATGTATGTCGTTCACTTTTCTACATTAGATTGCTTAGCATATATATTGCAGTTGCTTTAAATTCTTGGTCTGATAATTCCAACATCTCTGCTACATATGAGCCTGGTTCTGATTCTTCCTCTGTCTCTTCACACTGTGTGTTTTCTTTTAGTATGTGTATAATTTTTTTCCCAAAAATGAAACAGGCTGTTAGAGTGAGGTTTCAGTTATCTGGCTAGGAGTTAGGCTGAGTTTAGTGTTTGCTGTAGCTGTAGGTATCAGGGGCTAAAATTTCCTCTGGTGTCCTTGTTTTTGTCCTTCTTACTACCTTTAGGTTTTCCTAGAGACTTCCGAAATGAGATTTGAGACATACAGTTTTTTCAGCTTGGCCCTCAGTAAGGCCCTGCCTTATTCATGTGGTAGTAAATTATGAGGGTGAAGGGGGAAATAGTCTATAGGCTTATGCTTAAGTCTCAGTCTTTTAGTGATCCTGTGACCATGGGCTATGACCTTCACAAGTGCTTCTCAGTTTTTTCTTTAGGTCTCTCTTTAGAGAGCCTGAAGTTGGATATTTTCCTTCTCCCATGTTGAAGGCTAGTTGGAGCTGGAGTTGGGTACTTTTCTTACCCTGTTCAATTAAGCCCAGTCAGTTAAGGTTTTGCAGAATAGTTTCTCTTGATAAAGCATCTTATTGAAAATACAGTACTTTGTATGCATTACAAAATTACTCCTTTCCTGCCTCTTCTTCCCAGAAGCTTAAGGAGCCTTTTCTCAGATATTCACTATGAGAACCCAGTTGGCCTCTTAGAGGTAAAACACAAAAGTTGTGGGGTCTCCATTAAGACTGGTTTGCCCTGGCATTTTTAACTCTCAAATTTGTCCACAGTGAGCCTCCAACAATTTGTCAATTACATTTTAATTTTTTGGTATAGTATAGTCAAAGCTATAGTTTTTCCAGTAGTCATGTACAGATGTGAGAGTTGGACTGTAAAGAAGGCTAAGCAACCAAAGAATTGATGCTTTTAAACTGTAGTGCTGGAGAAGATTCTTGAGAGTCCCTTGGACAGCAAGGAGATCAACTCAGTGAATCCTAATGGAAATCAATCCTGAATATTCATTGGGAGGACTGAAGCTAAAGGTCCAATACTTTGGCCACCTGATGCAATGAGCTGACTCATTGGAAAAGACCCTGATGAGGGCAGGAGGAGAAGAGGGTAACAGAGGATGAGATGGTTGGATGGCGTCATTGCCTCAGTGGACATGAGTTTGAGCAAACTCCGGGAAATAGTGAAGAACAGGGAAGCCTGGCATGCTGCAGTCCATGGGCTCCCAAAGTCGGACATGACTGAGCAATTAAATTACATGCTATGAAGCCATTTCAATATTAAAAGTTCCAAAATTTCAAACAAAGTAAGTACCCTTGACCTATAAAATGAAAGTTGCCAAAGAAGGGAGAAAATAAACAATAAGGAAAATATAGAAAATAAAGCATAAAATAAGATGACAGAAATAGGTCACAATAGAACAATAATTAAATAAATCAAGATAAAAATTGTCATACAATTTTTAAATTTCAAAAGAAATCTATAGCATTGAAAATAAAGTAATAGAGAAAACTTAGAGAGCAAATGTGAATGCAAATTTAGACCTAAGTCTAAATTTTGATAGAAGGTTGCATTCATGATAATAATATTATAAAGAAGGGAAAGACTGTTGACTATAGGAGCAACAATTGAAGTGTACATTCACGGCAATATAGCTAAATAAACCCACAGGCCCATGTTCCCACTAAAGCTATATGAAAACATTATAGCCCACAAATAGAGAAATCCCCATTATTTTAAACCTCCAAGGAGCATTAAGACAAATCTACCATGTGAATCCCTCATTGGCTCCTGTGTTACTAAGGGTTAGAGAATTGCAACATAAAGGAATTTTGTATAAGACTCAAATCTCCTTCTCTATATAGTTCAGGCTGGACTTAAAGCTTCAGGAGGATGCAGTGAGGGGAATGGCAAAGCACACTCAGAAAACAAGAGTGTGTACGTAACATTCTAGGCCTGTCTGAAGAGGCTGATCAAAAACAGACTCAGCCCCAAGGGTTTAACCCCTAGTCCTACTCTTCACCCTACTACCATTTAAGGTCAGTACCTTAGCTCATCCTAACTCATTCCTGGCTTCTGGGTATAGTACAAGTGCACATGTCTGAATGTTCATGTTCCCTAAAAATTTAAATGTTGAAATCCTAACTCCTAAAGCTGGGAAGTGAGGACATTGGAAAGTGCTTATGAGCTTTCATGAATGGGATTAGTGCCTTATAAAAGAGACCCCAGAGATATCTCTAGCTTCCTCCCATCATGTATAAAACAGAGAGAAGACTCTGGCTTTGAACCAGGAAGAGGTCTCACTAAGGTGACTGTGCTAGGTGGGAATTTGATCCTGAACTTCCTAGCCTCCAGAACTGTGATAAATAAATTTCTACTGTTTTTAACCAACCCAGTCTAAGATATATTGTTATAGCAGCCCTAATAGATTAAAACAACATGTTCCAAAACTTATGTAGAGAGTAGGGACTGTCTTATTGTTGCAAACTAAGAAGTTGTGGACAAGGAAATGGCAATACATTCTAGTAGTCTTGCTGGGAAACCCCATGGGCAGAGGAGCCTGTTTTGCTACAACAGTCCACAGGGTGGCAAAGAATTGGACATGACTACTAAACAGCAGCAGCAAGAAGTTGAGCTGAGACAACATACGAAAGGTTTTAAGTAGAAAATTATGGGGTATTAGATTTGAAAGTACTGGGTTGATTAAGGAAGGATGAGTGTGGGTATGAATAAGTGTGTTTGTAGTATGTCCCAAAGCTCTCTGTGCAGTTTAAAGCTTTACTAACTCCAGAATTATAAATGCTTCATACTTACAAAAATATCATTTGAAGGTTTAACTGTTACCAGATGCAAGCATGTGTGTGCCCATTTTAAGCAATATTGAGTTTGGAGCAGAGAAAGGTTTATAGCAGGGCCATGAAAGGACACAGGTGGCTCATGCCCAAGAAGCCTTTTAGAAAACCTTTTTAAAGGCAAGGTGAGGGAAGGGGATGGTTAGATGTTGCAAACTACAGGTGTTGGATCCTTTGTTCTAGCAGCTGTCCAGGTAGGTCAAGTCATGGTCATGTCATGATATTTCTGTAAACTTCCAACAAAGCAAATGTTATTTTCTGTTCTGCAACTTTTTCTCTCCATATGAAGAAGCTTTTAAAAGTCAGCACCATGAGAATAGGCTATCCTGTATATTTCAGGCTATAGGCAACATTCTTCCACAAAAAGTACAAAGCCAGCATGACTAAACACAGTTTACTTCAGTTTACAAAAGATGCAGAGCCATTTTGGGGTCCAGGGAATGGGTGAGGTCAGCCTGGAGTCACAGGAATGGGCAGTCAGCATGAATAAACACAAGCAACAAAGCACAAAGATTAAAGTAAAAAGAAACAGATCTAATGTGGAGTCAGATTTGTTCTTCCTTATTACATAACTACTTATAATTCTTTCATGTTTATGAATTTTTAAAAATAGTTTTACATTTGCATCTTGGTCTCTTTGATAGAAAATGGGATAAAACATATGCTGTTCAAAATTCACAAAACTAAACAAGTCTCTAGGTTTACATAAGACACAAACATGTGGGGAAGTTGGAGTTGAGGATAAAAGAATTTCTGAGTGTAAAAATTGCTGGCAGATAGCCAAACTTTCAGGGTCAACTTCAGATTTTCAAGAGTACTAAAGCTGGTGCGCCTTGGCTCCAGATCTCTAATGGATGAAGGAACCCAGTAATATCTGTATTCCACGCGGAATGAATAGAAAATTGGCTACGGTCTCTCTGAGTGGATGAGACTAGTTGGAAGGAGGGATCTAGCCTCAGGAGGGTGCAGGGATCTGTGGGGCTCGATGAGAGGGAGCCATGATCCAGCCTACTCCTCTCCCTGCCCCTCCCCCACCCTCAGGACTCCTTTGTGACAAGGCCATAGCTCTGTGATGCAGGTCTGGGGTTCTGAGCTCAAGTGAACTCCCAGCACTCTGCTGCCTAAGGGCAACAGTGCAATTCAGAAAATGGAGAATTTCTTTTCTTTGAAAAGCATTACTGCTACCTTGCTGAGATCCAGCTCGACTTCCTGGTTGATTGATCTCATTCTTGCGTTCCTCTGTGGACTGGGGCTCTTCCTTCTGTTACTCCCATGCTTACAGAGTGATTCATATGTCCCACCATCTAGAAAACATAGAAACATCAGGAAGGTAAGAAACTTTTGCCTCGATCCCAACAGAGATTATGTTTTTTTTTTAATTCTTCTATCCACTTTCTAAAATCACTCAGAGAGATTACTGAGATGGGAACTCTCAAGAAAGCATAGGACATCATCCTTCTAGGGACAAGCCAGGCCAGACAAGGGTTAGAGTAGGCAAAAGGATTTATAGGATTTATAGCCCTAGATCTCAGGCCGGGAGTCCAGGTATGGTGGAGAGCTCTGGGCAAGTCCCAAATGCAGTGACTAATGGCCAAGGACTGAATTACTAAGAGTTCAGTCTCTGCAGGAAGACTGATCCCTGAGCACTGGTTCACTAGCCACCTTTCCATAGCAGATGTTGAGTGAGACTTTCCCCTGTGTTGGGACTGATCCTTATAAGCGCAGTGTTGAGTCCCTGAGAGCCTCAGAACAGAGGGTAGAGTGGTCTGGTCTTGGGAAGCAGAATCCTACCTGACAAAGCTCACATGGGAAATTAGTTTCACACAACTGAGAATGTGTGTGTTTCTTGATCAGAGGAACAATGACAGAAGAAATTTATGGTGAATATCACTTACAAAATCCTTCTTTGCACTCTTCAAAGAAAAAGCTGAAAATATTGTTATCCACTTTAAAAATAAGTAAGCAAGGAAAAAAACCACAGAGTTCCATTAGTTAAATGTAGAAAGTCATACTGTTCATGAACACTAAACATCTGTAGCTCACCTGGAGAGAGGAGAGAGTTGGGTGATAGTCTCTCCTTTTTTTCTTATCTCTCAGCATCAAGTGGAGGTGAAGAGGAGGAGCCAGAGTAAGAAGAAAAGTGGATCTTTGAAAGGTAAGCCTCTGCCATTCAGTCCTGCATGCCCCGAGAGTTAGCTTCCATCTCTCCTGTCCCTGAGGGCCCAGCTCCACGGTCTCTGAGGATGTCAGTGGCAGAACCTATTCTTCAGGAAACAGAGACTTAGGGAGGCTCCTGGGAAGGAGATCAGAGCCCAGATACTTCTCATAAAAGTGTGCTTAGAATGAAGCCATGAAGAACCTGGAAATGGGGTATGTGGATCATGGTGGAACAGTTGTGCCTGTGTTGGGAGTTGGGACCTCCAAGTCTAACTATGGACAAGTTGTTTAACTTTGCTCAGATTCTTCTGTGAGATGATGCTGACCTTTCTCTTATAGGGCAGTTGTAAGGGCCATAGGGAGTAATGAATGTGGAAGTAATTTGCAATGGACAAACCCTTGTCAAGTGAGCCTTGCCATCACTGTCAGGGACATACGCCTTGGACACTGATGCTTCGGCTCTAGAGCTTAATCCCCCAAAGATTTCCTTTAAAGAGACATTGCACTTAGCCTCCTGAAGCACTCTTAGGCCTCTGCCTTCACCACCATGACAGTCTCCTGATTTCCAGCTTGCAGAGATTGCCTGGAAGAACTGGAGGGGACTCACCACTTGGTTTCACTTCTTCAAAGGTAATGAATCTTTCCCCCTTCCCTCCTGGGTCCTCCTTCCCCCTGAAACCAATAATGTGACCCCAGCCCCGGGAAGGGTGGCGAAAGCCCTAGGGTGAGGGACAACAGGAGCATGATGGCGTCAGTGTAGGGGCAGAGGAGAGATCCTGGGCTGCAAGTGTCCACCCCTGCCTGGCCTGCCCAGCCCTGCTGGGCCCATCTGCTCCTGGTTGCAGCTTCTGTATCCCACCTCCTGCAGCCACCTGGGGAGGCTCCCTGACAAGAGCGGCTTTCATCAGTTCTCCTGTCAAGACCTCCTTGATAAGGTATGCAAAGCAGTGCCTGCTGAAGCCCGCCAGCCATGCGGGGAACCTGTGGAAGATGCCGCTCCTGCCATGTCCCTACTGGCTCCTCTGACCAAGCATCGTGTACCTCTGGCCTCCGTCCTTTCACCAGACCCGACGACTTCCTCAGTTTCTGTTCATTCACACACATCCCTGAGTTCCTCTCAGCCACTCGAGCCTTTAGATTCCCCAGACCTCCTTTCATCCCCACCAGTTGCTCTTTCCTCGCCCCCACCATATCTGCCTGATTCAGAGGCCTGTCCTCTGACATCCTCCTCTACCCCACCACTGCTAGACTCTATTTTGACTCAGCGTGACTCCTCGATAGCACCGCCTCTGGGCACTGTCCCGCAGAGCTTTTTTCCACATCCTCCTTGGTCAGCTTCTCTCATCCCAGCTATCTCAGGCCTTGGTCACGCACATGGCCCCGTTTCAGCCCTGTCCTGGTGGCAGGCAGCTGCAAAAGCCTTGTATCTCTCAACCTCATCAGAGTACAAGTCCCAGAAAAAGCACCCTTCCCACAACCCAGCAGGGGCCTCATTCTGGATAGGCCCCACAGACAGACAAGGAGAGGCTAGTAGCCCTTCTCTGCTCAACTCTCATGAACAGAAGCTCCTAGATATACAAGTGACAAAGAGAGTTGACATAAAGATTTGGAAGGAAAAAGAAAAAGATGAATCACATCTAAAACAAATGAGCCCAGACTGTCACCTGAATTCTTTGGGGAATATGTTGAAATCTCTACATGCTAAGGAGGACACCACAACCCCCCAGCCTTTCTGGAGCACAAAAGACAAATCAGAGCAGCTGCCTTACCCTCAGCAGTTCTCATATCCCAAGGTCCTGGGGAACAATCTACAGCAGAAATATAACCAGCTTTTCTGGGGTCTCCCTTCTCTGCACAGTGAATCCTTGGTGGCTACTGTTTCGATCCCTGAGACCTCTTCTGTACCACAGTCTCCTTTCTTATTCAACAGAATTTCTCATGTCTGCCCAGTTCAAATGCAAGCTAAAATATCGCCACTGCTTCCGCAGTTCCAGCCCTTGTCCCATCTAGAGTTCCAGCCTCGACCCTTTATTCCAACAATACCTCAATTCCAGCCCCCACCTCTGGCTCGGACCCAAACCCAGGCACATCTAAAATCCTCTCTCTCAATTCTACCATCTTCTTCTTCAGCCCAGATTAGGACCTCTGGACTGTCTTGCCCTACAGCCCAGAATAAGCCACAGTCTCTTACCCCAACAGAGATTCAACATTCAGAATGGTCCTTGTTGCAGAAGCAACTAGAAAATGGGAGGACTTTATCTTCTGTAGTCAAACAATCTCAGGAAGTCATTAATGCCTTCCCTTCCAACCTTCCTGAAGACAGCTGGGCGGTCTCCATCCTTCCTGAGAATTTTCCGATCAGTCCAGAGCTCAGGAAGCAGCTGGAACAACATCTCCAAAACTGGCTCATCCAACATCGATGGGAGCTGCCCCAAAGGATCCAAGAGTCTTTAGAGATAAGGCAGCTTCAGGGAGAATTACCAGGCACATGCCAGGCAAAGGGCAAGGATAGACCCTCACAACCATCTTCATTTACAGGTGAAAGCAGCAAGGATACACAGAAGGTGAAGTTCCAGCTAAGCCAGAATGTGGGCAAGGGCCTAGGGCATATTCTGGGGAAGGTTCCAAAAGATCTGTCTAGGAACTCAGAAAGCTCTGTAGTGAAGTTTCAGGAGGTGAACTCTGAGGAGTCAGAAAATGACCTAAGGCTCTTGAGGAGTGACTCAGGAATTGATTTACTAAGGAGCTTAGATAAGAATCTAGACAACATTCTGAAAGGCCATTTGGGCAGAAAGTTGGGGCAGAACAGCAAGGGGTTAGTTTCTGTGAATGTACATCAGTCTAGCCTTGATGTCAAGCATCCTTCTTCCAAGTCTGATACTCACACAGAAACCAGCAATCTAGGCATCTTGAAGGGTTGGGAACCCTGTGTGAACACCTGTTATGGGGTTTCCCTCCTCGATCCAGACACTCAAGAGGAACTGGAAGCACATATTACAAGGTTTTGGGTAAAGCATAGGTGGAGCCTACCTCTCAAGGTCCTCAAGCCCATAAATCTCTTTAAATTGAAAAAGCCTCCCCCCTCCTCCATGCAGTTTGTCTCCCCGCCCTCAGCCACCTGTGTATCTGAGTCCCACTCAACAGTAAAATTTGCTGAGTTCCTCGGAAAACCTCCTCAGGCCCATTCAGGAGAGAAGGCAATAAAAGAAGAGTCAGTTCCCACCCTGATAAGGCCTCTCCTTACCCCCTCACCTGTGTATAAGGAAAATCAGAGGGGGCTGGACAGTATCCCATGTGATGACTACCTTGGACCCTCAGAGGCTTCTCTGACTGGATTGGAGGACAGGTTACCTTCTCAGTCCTTCAAACTCAGCATTGTGGGAAGAACCTGGAAGAATGAGACTGTGAAATGGACCAAGAGGGACAGCCTAGAGTCACATCCAGGCTCTACAACGGCAAGGAATGAGGCAAGAGAGGAGAGTGGTGGTCAGGCCTCACAAGACCCCTGCCAAAGGGTAAAAATGATGGAGGTGAACTTAGGATCCCAACCTTTGAGAAGTAAAGAGGCCAGGGAAGCCACAGAGGCCAAGGAGTCTCCTGCTTTTCATCAACAGTCTAGAGTTACGTTGGGAACCAAAGTGTTAACAAAACCCCAAACCACAAGTGTACATAGGAGGAATTTAGAGGCCCCAGGGGCCAGTAAACATTCCCCACTCACTAGAATGTCTGTTTTCCAATGTCCAGGTGAGCCATGCCTTAACACGAACGTTGCTAGTAAGTTTAAGTCCAAAGTAAAGGCACGGTCAAACATCCAGCTTCAACACTGTCCCAAACACGCATGCCTTGGTGCAGACAACTTGACTTCTCCAGTGCCTCACTGCCATCCTCAAAGATTCCCCACCAGAGACAGATTAGTTTCCCAGACACTACATGGCTTTAAGGCAGCCCAAAGGAGAAACCTAAGGCAGCAGGAGCCCGAAACTCCAAAACTTCAGGATTCATGGAAGAGCCAGAGCAAGACGATAGCCCCTACTTACAAAAGAGAGGACTGTACGAGGCATAAACCAGGAGAGCATAAGGAAAGCTTCAAAGAATTAGGGACCTCTCAAGCTGGAAGTATGAGACGCCCTGCCCAGGTCTGGGGAAAAATACAGTCTTTTGGAACCAAACGTCTTCAGGTCACACCAGAGAAGAAACAGGGTCCTCAAGAAAGCCTCTTCAGAAAAGGGATAAGGCTACTTTTAAAGTGGATTGTCCCCAGTAGAAAAGTTAAAGGTGGTGATGCCCTGCAAAACTGCAAGCCTATATTGGCCACTGCCCAGAGCGAAGGACCAGTCAAAAGCAGATCAATCTTGAACAGTGAGAATGCTGAGGCTCAGGCACTTATGACAGCTGTTGGACACATCCTAGAAGAAAAAATGACAATTCACCATGGACTTCATGCCACAAAGTTAAAAGAACCCAAACAGGAACTCCAAGCCCCGTTATGTGGGTGTTTCTGCTACTACAGGCTTCCCTCTTACCCACAGCAAGGGAAAAATATGGGTTATACAGCCTGTCGTCATCAAGCCACCTCCAAGGGCCAGAGCTGTTCTATCAGAAAAGGGGAAGTCAAACATCTACAGAGCTCAAAAAGTGTAAGATTCAATGATGATCAGCTGAGCCCAACCTCATCCCCCAAGAAGACTCTGACTCTGGTCCATCCCTGCCAGTATGCACCAAGGTTTCCAGGTGCCCTAGTCCACCATCAACACTGTCCAAGGCACTGTCATCTCTGGGGAGGTGTCTTACCTGCTCAACTGTAAAGTAATTCTCTAGTCTTTGCTTTAGTAGAAAAACATGTCTCCCAGAAAAAATTCAGTCCATGTAAAGAAAGTTTTTCTCAGTGTATCCAAGATATTTAATGTTCCCCAATACATATGTTTTCTTCTCATAAGAGTATAGTGTAATGACTGCTGTCTATGATGTGCACTTTGTTTTCTAGAAGGCAGGGGCATGGAGGGGCATAGAGGAAGGAAGGAGAGTAGCATTGTAAGCTTGCTCCCTGTCTCGAGTCTCTTCATTGTATATTATAATACTGTCATCACACAAACAAAAACTATGAGGTGGGGAAAAGCTATGAAGCCCACACAAAGGATTTGGTTCAACCAGTCTTTCTCCTGCTTCTACTCTACTTTGAACTTTATTCAGCTATAGCGGATAGGTTTACAGAGGCATGATAGAGCTAGACATTCCAACTGAGGCTCCAGGAAATGTTAGAAGCAAGTGGATGGAAGTTTGGAGGGAATTAGGGTACTGGGCTCTGAGTTTAGAAGCAAGAGAAATCTGCCCCTGGATCTCTTGTTAGGCAATATACAATACCTACCCTTGAGAGCTCCTTCTCTCTATGATGAAGGCTGGGATTGACATACGCCCTGTGAACCCCTTTGAGTTAATAGCGTTAATAAAGAGTACAGCATCACTCTCCACCTCCTCTCCTTTTCCTACACTTTAGAGCAGAGCAAGGATAGCATTTCCAGCTCTGTGTGTGTAGGTGGGGGAGGATTAGGGAGGCTGCTGAGGGCTGTGCTGACCCCTGTCCCATATAAATGAATAGCTATGTTCATGGTCACCTACCTTCCCCTCTATGTTAACCCCAGAGGAGAAGTTTTAGATGAATAGAACAGGGCTGTGACTATGTGTACTAACTATCTGATGGTCATACACTGTGAATCTAGTGTAAGATGTAGATGAAGATAAAAGGTGGTATCCAGAGAAGAAGGCCAAGGGGTATGAGGTGCCCATAACTGCACAGTGAAAGAGAAGCCTCCTGACATACAGCCATATAAAGGCCTAGAAGGGAGGAAAAGCCAAGAGTCGAGCAACTCATCATGCCCCACCCCAGGGTCTCTATCCCATTCCAACTCTAAGATCACAGACCTACAGAAAGCACCCTAAGGTCAAAACAGAAGGTCAAACTTGTAGAAGTAAAGCAAATCAGGGAAGGTTAACACTATATTTAACAAGCTTATACATCACTTCTTGAATTCTCAAAAGGATGATTTGACAATAAGTATAAAAGCCAGGTCTAGGGAACACAGAATGTGACTCCTAGTCTGGTTCACATAAACACATGGCCAAGGACTGTTCCAGGGGAGAAGTGGATACTAAAAAGTCCAAGGGACTTGCTTGTGATTATGTAGTAATCACACAATTACTTGCCTGGCTCTTAGTCCATGATCACCTCAGAGTCTGGCAAGAGAAGAAGCAATAAGACAGGATTTGTCACAGGATGGTGGTGGGCGGGAGTGCTGTACTTAGTCACTCAGTCGTGTCTGACTCTTTGTGACCCCCTGGATGGTGGCACGCCAGGCTCCTCTGTCCATGGGGATTCTCCAGGCAAGAATACTGGAGTGGGTTGTCGTGCCCTCCTCCAGAGGATCTTCCCAACCCAGGGACTGAACCCAGGTTTCCCACACGGCAGGCTAATTCTTTACTGTCTGAGCCACAGGGGAGTGACCTGTCCAAAATGGGGGGCAAGGTGCAGTCCAGGAGTGTTCCACTGCTCTGCTTCTAGCACAGCATTTCTTGTCCCCTGGCCCCCATTCATATGGGAAAGCAGGGAAATGAGGAAGAATTTCCCTAGAGTGATTAGGTGCATTCTGCCATGTGCAGGGTACACGGTGGACACAGCTCCCGGGGGTGTCTTTCCCACTGTGGAGAGTTTTGCTCCAGCATGTGCCCCTGATCCAGATGGCAACAGAAATGGACCCCGTCCCCCACACCTGTCTGACTTCTCAACATGTGGATCTGAGACCTGGGGTGGTAAGGCGGAGTGGACACAGGACTGCTCACAACCCTGCTTTCTCCCTGGAGCCAGTTCCTGCCTCTGGGGTCTGATTTCCAAGGCAGTCTCGAAAATGGGCAGAGCAGTGAGAATGGAAGCTGGACTTGTGGGAGGAGTCGGGACTCAGGGCTGGAACCTGAGCCTGGCTGTTACTGGATCCTCTCCAGGGCACCCAGAAGGGAGCTCATGGGAATGTGGGGAACCTGAACACAGACCCCTGTGGCTCCTGCTGGGAGGAGACAGGTGATGCTGACGGAACAGCAAGAAAACAGAAAGAAGCCAGTCCGTTTGGCCTTCCTTCACTGCTCAGTCTTCCATAAGGTACAGCAAGACCAGAAATGAGAGGAACAAACAGAGACAATACACCAAGACTTTACAGAGACCACTCTCAAGAGAGACTTCCTGCACAGATGCCTTCCACAGAGATTCCATACTGAGGCCTCACTCAGGGACCTCATGCTGCCTCACAGGCCCTCAGACAGAAACCTAGCACAGATTTAATACACTTCCCAGAGATACTTTCCAAAGGGACCTCATACAGAGACTTCACCTAGAGACCTCATGTGGCCTCACCAGAGACTTCACATGGAAACCTCACAGAGAGGTCATTTAGAGACAGAATGCAGGAGCTCTCTCATGCCCTAAAGAGACTTCTCACTGAAACCTTACCCAGATAACCCCCAGAGACTTGACACAAAGGCCTCACAGAGGCCTCACATCTTTTCTTTAGGACCCATTGACAAATCTTCCTTAGTGAATATGAAACCACTAGCAAGTTGGCAGCATAAAAAGAATATTATCTGTTGGGCTCCCTTGAGATCCACCATTACTCTTAAGTGGGGAAATGCTTGGGAAGTTTTGTTCTTTTGTAATGTCATTGTCTCTGAACCAAAGAATTACACATTCCACACGTAGATTTGCAACGTTAATTCTTAGGTGTTCATTAGCTTGAGAACCACAAATTCTATTTTTTAATTTTTATTAGAAAAATGAAGAAAATAATGTTCATTTCTTAAAGACACACAAGTATTTGATTTACTTATTTTTTTAAAAAACTTATTGGAGTTCAGTTAATTTACAATGCTGTGTTAATTTCAGATGTACAGCAAAATGAATTAGTTATAATACACACGTGTGAACTTTTTTTAAAGATTCTTCTTGCATATAGGCCATTACAGAGTACTGAGTAGAGTTCCCTATGCTCTATAGTAGGTTCTTGTTATCTGTTTTATATATAGTAGTATGTAGATGTCAACCTCAGTGTCCCAGTTTATCCCTCCCCTGCCCCTATCCCCTAGTAACCATGTTTGTTTTCTACATCTGTGATTTGACTTCTGTTTTGTAAATAAGTTCATTTTTACCCCTTTTTTTAAATCACAAATTTTAAGCACAACACTTTCAGTCTCCAATGAGAGAAAATATTTGTCCAGTTTTAATTATCAGCCAGTCGTATAGTATCTTTCACATTTTTTACTTCATTGGAGGTAAGACCTGAATTTGAGATGGCTTACTTATTTCCTTTGGAAACATAAGAAAAACCTGCAACAAATGGACTCTAGGAATGAAATATATCAATAAACATCAGGACTCACATTCACTTCCCAGAGAACTTTGTAACTAGCACATTATTTTGCACATAACAGCTTACAATGGGTTGGTGGAGTCTTGTTTCCCTCATTTTTTAACAGGCTAGTAATCATGTGAGGATTTTTCACAAGTCAAACTCCTGGCTATTAATATTCTATTATATTTTATCTGGCAAAATTATGTTCTTTAACATTATTTTATTTCTTAAAATGCAGTAATGCCCTAATATGGTATTAGACAATCTTAACACTCTGCTAACATACCTACAAGGATGGTCTATTAAGGAGTCATTCTTAAATAATTCTAGGAAATGCACAGTTTATAAAACATCAGTCGGGATCTATTTTATATTTATTATAGGGTTAAAAACATATTGCTTTAAAATTTTTTGAAGTATTATAAAATATATCACAGCTTATGCTTGAGATTATACATGTGGCCTAATAAAATTACTGAGGGAGGGATATCTTAATATCTGAATTGAAGGTAGTGTACATTTAATCTGCATTTGGTTTATAACAATGAATAGTGAAAAGCTTTCCTTTGTTATTCCACACTTTCCAAAAGGGTACACTACTAATAGACTACTTATTTCTTATTGCTAATAAGCAACCTATTGTCCACGCCTTGGTAAAATCTATTGGGTTGGCCAAAAGGTTCATTCAGTTTTTTCTGTAAGATGGCTCTAGTAGTGCTTACTTGTCTTTGACTTCATTTGAAACAATTTTGTTAGATTGTGTTATGACAGCTGTCATATCAAAGTGCATTTAACAAAAATACCATCAAAATGGGTGAATTTTTATGTAGCCATTTTAATACTGAAGATGGAAAGAAAAAAGCAACATTTTTGGTACCCTAAAATGAACACACACTCTAAAATTGCCATTAAAAAAAAAGAAGAAGCCTTACCTGATAGGAGAAAGGGTGACTGCAGAATCAGCAGCAGAAAGAGCAGCAGCAGTATGCAGCAAGGCAGGCTTTGCAACAAAGGTCTGAGATTTCCAGTGTGTGATTTCCAGACCTGTAATGAAGGTATCACCTGGGAACTTATTGAAAGGGGACTCTTCAATTTCTCCATCTTTGGGAGGTGCATTTTGCCCAGATCCCAAAGTGGGAGCTACTTCTCGGAGGCAACCCTGAGATAGTACTGTGGTGTTGAGACCATCTGGACAGTACACAGGACTGTGTACACAGTCTAATAAAAAAAAAAGCAACATTTTGGGCATATTATGCTTTATTATTTCAAGAAAGGTAAAAACACAACTGAAATACAGAAAGACTTGTACAATGTATGGAGAGTGAAAAAGCTGACTTAAAACTCAACATTCAAAAAATGAAGATCATAGCATCTGGTCCCATCACTTCATGGCAAATAGATAGGGGAAAATGTGG